CAGGTGCTGGAGTCCCCCAGGCCGATGACGTTGGTGTAGCCGTGGTGGAGCTTCACGTGGTTGTAGGTGGCCTGCTCGGCTGTGAAAGCTGAACAGAGCTAGGAGAGAAAAGAAAGGGGAGGTGATGCCAACAGCTGCGGTGCCAGGGACCCAGAGGAGATGCTCTGCATCCGGGGAGAGACACACAGGGGAGATGCCCTGCACCCCACAGCCCCCAAAACAATCTGGATGTTGACTTCTTAGACTTAAGCACTGGAAACCATTCCCAACGTTCCTCTCAACACATCATCCTGCTCTGCAGCCCTGTGGCCAAGGGGATTGACACAAAACCCCACCACACAGCACATCACAGGGGCTGTCCTCTGTCCCACTGCCTCCAGGAAAAGCCCCACAAGCAGGGATGCTCCTGCTGCTCCCTGGCGTAGCGTTGCTTTTCATTTAACTCTCCTGCACACAGAGCAGGAAGGTTTTGAATACATCTTGGTCTCCAGTGGCTGTTCCTGAAGGGCTTAGGGGTGGTAGCAAGCTGCTGATGTGGTTTTTGTGGGGGGCTGCCCCCTGACCCCACAGACTCACTCACCTCAATGAAGAAGATGGCCCACACTTTGCCCCAGGACTTGGACTCGGTCAAGGCGTTGTGGCTAGCCAGGTGGCTGCCCTTCACCGTCAGGGTGTGATGCACCACGCCGAGGGTGAGGACACCCACCAGGAAAGGGATGGCCTGGGCTGACCGCAGGCACAGGAACCCTGTGGAGAAACCAGGCAGGCAGGAGCTTGTTCACACACATGTGCTGCAGGCCTCCTTGCCTCCTCACTAGGCTTGAGGTGTTGCTACACCCAGACACGCCAGCTGCTGTCCTAAACCTGTTTTTTCAGATGTAGTTAAATGTATTTAAACTGCCTGAGCCAGAACGCTTCTCTCCATATCTCCCTGTGTGGCCAGACCAGCCCCACTCGCCATTGTGCTGAAGGTTTGGCCGTTTCCAACCATGATGGCATTAGGCTCTGCTGGTACCAGGTCCTATTCCACAGCTCCAATTGGGATCCCACTGGTGACAAATACAGCCCTGTCAGGATTTCAGCATTCCCAGGAGTTCAAAAGCAAGAGAAGGCACTGGCTGCTGCTTTCCCAACTGTGCCCCTGTGTCCCCCTGTATCCACCAGTGGCCATAATCACCAAAACCACCAGGGTTTCCTGCCCCACAGTGGGGCACAGTTGAGGCACATCGCTCACTGTCCTGCCCTGTGCCCGTCTGCCTGCGCACCGTCCCCTCACCCCAGGCTGTTCCCCTGACCCCACCACCACCTCTGCAGGTTTCCAGTGGGGTCAGGGTGCCCCATGGTGCGGGGTGAAGGGGTTATTGCAGCCTTGTTACAGGCTTAATATTCTGATAAGAGGCTTCCAGCACAGAGTTGTACCAGCAGCACACAGAAGCTGCAAGGAGGCAGCAGGACCTCCACTGTGACCCCGCCTCCTCCACCGGCCGTGGTTTTAGAGGGGCTGAGTCGCGTTACCTGCTGGGAGCAGAAGGAAGCTGCAGGCGAGGATGCTGATGTCCACGCCGTGCCGCTCCCACCAGCTGCTGCTCTTCACCACCTCCTGCACCAGCCCGGAGAGCTCGGCCATCAGAGCTTCTTCACACTGCTGCGGGGCTCCCCCGGGAGTCACGTCCCCATCACCAAGCACTGGCCCTGGCTCCCAGGCCTCTGCCATTGCTTCTGTCCTGCTGCCGTCAGGCGCTGGGGTGCCCTGGAGCAGGGGGTGCCCTATCCCCCCAAGGGAGGGGGTCCCGCTGACCTCGCCATTGGCCCGCTCTCCCCTCTGCCTCACTGGGTCCTCGTCCTCCAGCGGCATCTCCCTGTGGAGCAGAGACCATGCAGGGGAGCACTCACAAGGGAGCACCCACAGCACCCCGACCCACTGCATCCAGGCTTTGCTGCCACCGAAGGACACGGGAAGGGCAGTGATGGAAAAAAATCAACCCGAGGAGGACGCAGCCAGCAGTGGCAGAGCCACCTAACCTCCCCCTCCAGGGACATCACAGGTCACCACGCAGACACCGCAGCCCCCTACTCACGCCAGCCCCGGTGCTGTGGCTCTCCCGGCGTTGACCGTGTCGGCGCGGCCGGCCGGCCCGTGCGGCACCGCGCACCGATGCCGAGCAGCAGCGATCTGGAGAAGGGAGGAGCAGGGGAGGACAGGGAGGAGGGCGCATGCAGATTAGCGATGGTAATAATCCACCTTGGTGGCCCATTTCGGGGAGCAGCCGTGGCGGCGGGGCCACGGGGAGGCGAAGGCAGCGGAGGAGGGAAGGAGTGGAAAAAAAAGATGGAGAGAGGCAGTGGAAACGCTGGAGATGGAGTCGAGTGCCAGAAATAGCCATGAGAAACCTAAGCGGAGCAGTGTGGACGGTGATAAGGTTTCCCTTCTGCTGGGGAGTTTTTTAACGTTGCCCATCCCACAAGAGTGCTGTTTTGGGGAGAAAAAAAACAACTTTTGTCACAGCAAGGAGCAAGCTGCTGGAAGGAGGAGCAATGCATGGCTGCGTGATTGCCTGCTTCTGCCTGCACAAACCGCAGCTGCGAAACCACTCTGCCCCCTCTTCTGTGCTGAATTGGGACACTGATCCCAGGGGCATCGGCCAGGGACCAGATCATCCCATATCTGTGCCCAGCAGCCGTGGTGCCCAGCACTGACCCACACAGGGTCCCTCTTCTCTCTAGGGCTATTTTCAGGAATTTCAGAAGAATTTCTTCCCTCTTTCAGCGCTGCTTCCTAACTAATCATCCAGAACACAGCACAGGTACCCCATAAACTTTGCGGTAGCCATACACGGACTGGCACCTCCTGAGCCCTATTTCTTTATGGAGAAAGGCTAAAAATGCATCTCTTCTCACTGTGGCACTGGGTTTCTTCTTGCTTTTTTATTACTTTTTCTAACCAAAACCAAAACCAGCTCAACTGATCCACCAAAGCTTTGATGAACACTGACATCCAGCAAATCCATAGCACTGGTTTGCTATACTGGGGTAGCCCCCAACCCCAAGCTGGAACAGGCTCAGCACCTCCACATCACTGCAGCGATTTGCAGGGAAGCAAACCTCGAATCCAAGTTGCACCAAGCCCCAGGGGATTGCCATTGTACTCTGGAAAAAAAACTAATAAATTTAATAAAAGTTAATTAGTAAAAATTAATAAAAATTAATAAAAATAATAGAAATCACATCTACTTCAAAAGAGCCAAGGGTATGTTAGAGACCTGCTGAGGTTTCATACCTGCTGTAAGAGCTTGTATTACGAAAGGTCATTCCCAGAGCCAGGGGTGCTAACAAATTAAAGCAGCATCCACAGCCCAGCAAGCTGCAGGTCTGCCTGCAGCCAGCCAGGTCAGTGATTAATTCTGACACACAGCACAGATTTCATCACCCCCTCATTAATGAGGGAAGTCTGTGGCTGGGAGAGCACCCATAGGTGCTGCTGGGCCAGGGGGAGGCAGACCCGCAGGGTGCATCAGCTGGGTCCACTCCTGAGTGATGTCTTTGTTACCTTCATCTTACTCAGGATGTCACCGCGAAGGATGGTGGCAGCACGGTGACAAAGCCCTGCTCTGAGGGGGCCAGGCTGCCATTCAGTAGGACCAAAGGTGAGCGGTGGTCAAGCTGCCATTGCATAAGTGCAGAATGGGCCAGAACTGGTTACACAATGGCAGCCAAAGAGGAGGAGGAGGAGAAGAGGACCACAACCAAGATCAACGTGAGCCATCAGGATCCTACCACAGCTGATGGTGAGCGTGCTGGCACACACGGGTAGATACAGGAACATGGCATTGCTCAGTCCCATGCCACCACTGGGATCACAGACCATCTGGGAGAAGAGAAGAAGCACTGGGTTGAAAACCACACAGGAGAGGCTGAGATTTGGCTTCTGGGGAGAAGTGTCAAACTCAAAAGTGTTTCTTGCTTCCAGCTGCAGCGAAGGTGGGATTCATGATGCCCACAAGGGAGCAGCAGCTGTAAGGAGACAGCAAAGCCAAAAGGAGGGCTAGAAAATTTGAGGTCAGAACCCTAAATCTGCTTCCTTGCTGCCTTGCAGAGATCCATTTCAGAAAGAAACTTCTAAACCGCAATTTGCATCTGATTTTCCATCACATGCAGGCCAAGCCATGCAATCTCACTGACCCCAATAGGATTTAAGGGATGAAGGCAAACAGTGCCTTGGCCCTTGCACCATGGACGCAAACACCTCCAATTTACCAGGAAAAACACATTAAAGACTCAGAAATCCCTTGGCACGGCAGGGGAGCTGGAGAGGATCAGTGTAATCCCTGGCACAGCGAGCTCTTGCTGGCAACT